CCGGGTGCCCGACTTGCGAGAGCAGCTACACGGTCTGCATCTCTGTCGGATGCAGACCTCAGAGCGGCTCCTGTCAACTCCGGCCGAATGATGGATGATTAGTAAGGTCTGCAGTCTTTCACATATGATTACATGCGGTGTGCAGGCGTGTACATGCAGCAGCTGTCACCTGATCATTAATTTGAATTGGTGACAGTTGCCACTTGTAACATATGCAGACATTAAAACTGGTACCGTATATAGTACGCCCCCCTCCCCCCCAAAAAAAATTGTCCAGTGGCCCCTGACTAAATTGAGTTTGAGACCCCTGGTTTATAGCAAACTACCTCTAGACTTAGAAAATATGGTCTTAGTGTCTACATAGAGCTGCTTGATAGCATGACGTTAAGGTTTTTCTTGAATGAGGTGACCACTATTTTGAAATGATAAACGTGAGGGTACACTGCATCTGTTTTTTTTCTATATCCAGCATTATGTCATTATGAAGAAGTACGGTGATCCTAACCACTGCAATTATCTACGGAGTTCCTTCAGGATGAGCAGAATCCGGAATTCCATCACTGTGCTTCCTCCTCCGTCTCTGATACCAGAGAAAAACAAGGTTCTAGAAGCCGCAAACGATATCATCGAGCTTCTGACAGGAGAGGTGAGCGGCGGCAGGAATTTTAGGACATTATCCTGTAACAGAAGGCTCTGTGAGGTGACAGTATCATTGTGATTATGTGTCAGGTTCCTATAAGGTGTGAAGATTTCACAGTCTACTTCTCCATGGAAGAGTGGGAGTATTTAGAAGGACACAAGGATCTGTTCAAGGACGTCATGATGGAGAATCAGCAGCTGCTTGGATCAGTTGGTTAGTAAAGGGAAATGGTTGTAATTGTGTCCGAATGGATATAGTTTAGCTCATTTATCAAACTCCTGTGTTTTCCGTAATGACAAGTAAATGGAAATGTTAACTGTTAGATAGATCTGTGATTGTCTTGGAAAATGCCTGAGAACTTAGTTGAAAAAAAAAAATTTGAGAAATGGGATGGAGAAAGTGTGTGAGTAGATTCTCTTGTTATTGAATCTTAAGTTACAGTAGAGGCATCTTGTATCTTTTGGAGATTCACAGCCTTTACCTGGCCACTCTAAACTAGCTTACAGCGGCAGACCTCTCTGAGAATGGGGGGTGGTAAGGATTCTGCCCACACTTTTATGACCTGAGGGCAAATAAAAATACTCCTTACCTTTTATTATATTAGCATTCTTCCTTTTTTCTGAAGTCACAGCACATCACAGATAAAAGTCATAAAAACCCACAGGAAACGGCCACTTCCAGCCCTGCTCCAAGCTCCTTTCCAGCCAGTTGATCCAGCCAGCCCTCAGCTTTTTTTTCAAATTCTCCTTCCGCTGTGACCGCGCTTATTGTGCACAGCTTTGTTTTGACAGAGCGTGCACGCTGGCATTTTGGAGCTGGAGGCGGAGTCTCAAATGAAAAGGCAGCAGCAATAGATGGTTAGAAGTGAACTGCTGACTCAGCCTCCCTGCACTTTCAGTGCTCTTTACCTTCTCTCATCAGCGATCTGTCTGTCTCTCTGTCTGTCTCTCTGTCTGTCTCTCTGTCTGTCTCTCTGTCTGTCTGTCTCTGTCTGTCTGTCTGTCTCTCTGTCTGTCTGTCTCTCTGTCTGTCTGTCTGTCTCTCTGTCTGTCTGTCTGTCTCTCTGTCTGTCTGTCTGTCTGTCTGTCTGTCTCTCTGTCTGTCTGTCTGTCTGTCTGTCTGTCTGTCTGTCTGTCTGTCTGTCTGTCTGTCTGTCTGTCTGTCTGTCTGTCCATATATGGTGAATTATATGGACTTGCCCATATGTGGTAAATGATGGAGAGAGAGAGGGCTCCTCTCTCGCTCTCCTGCCCTGTGTCACGCTGACATCCTAGAATCACGGGGGATCGCTGAAGAGAGAGGGGAAAGAGGGCTCTCTTCAGCATTTACCACATATGAGCAAGTCCATATATGGTGAATGATGTCACTGGAGATCCCTGCAGACTGGCAAGCATCCGATCAGCGGGGATCCCCAGTGACAACATTCACCATATATGGACTTTCTCTCGCTCCATCATTTACCACATAGGAGCAAGTCCTAAATATATGGTGAATTTTGTCACTGGGGATCCCTGCAGACAGCACATGGAGTAGGCGGGGCAGATGAAGGTGGGAGGGGGATCCAAGGCTACAATGCAGCGTGTCTGGAAGGCGGGCACAGAGTACGGGACGTGAAGGTAAGGGGAGAGCTGCTGCGCATGTCCATATATTCTCAGCGATCACTGTCAGTCACAGTGACTAAGATCATTGGGGAGGATCCCGACAGTATTGTCGGGATCTCTCGTCATTGTGGCGCTTAGCCCCGCCCAGCATGTTAAAGAAGGGTTTACAAGCTTAGGGTGCATTTTGGCTTATAGGAGTAAATTACACTATTCACTCCTTTAGCCTAAGGAATGCAATAATAAAGAAAAAGTAGAACCCCCATAGTTCTCCTTTAACTGATCTGTATGCCACCACCATGCACTATAATGTGTATGTAGCCAGGAACAACCTCATGTTAATAGTCATTAAAACCAGACCACAGGACAATTGCCTTTACAAAAGGTGAAAGGACTTCTGAGTAGTCACATGTTACATAGTGATTCCCCCCTCAGGATGACACAACCATTGCTGGGATACAAGCTTTACAGCAACCTCTCAAATATGTTCTGGCATTTCAGGCGTAACTGAAATATATTGTATTGCTTGCAATTGCCAGACTTTGTACAGTCTCTCTAACTTGGTCAGTCCTAGATATTATTTCTCCAATTACATGTATGGCTGATTAACTTGTCTTTAGGCTTATATGGTTCAGTCATGTATTCATCTTTGTTTCCTTTTTAATTACATCAGGCTGCTTCAAGAGTGACTCTAGACGAGGCTCTGAGAAAATAAGAGAGACAGTGAAGCCTGGGAACCACAGTGCTGAGGCTATGCTGAATATTACTAAAGAGTTAATTGATGTGCTGACTGGAGAGGTGAGGAGGATTCTGGGAGTGTCGCTTGCCCTCACTGTTATCTCTATGAATAAAGGACACACACTACAAGGATTAAATGCTTGTTAAGTCTAAGGAGTAGAGGAAAAAGCTGTAATACTTCCCTTATTTCACACTCCAACAGGCTTTGGCATTCTCCTTCTTTCCAACTTTGTGTCCTCATGTTTAATGCACCAGGGCTTATCAATCCTGTATCGTTACTCTTAAGGGACAATGTTGTTTAAGGTGAAAATATAATGACTTTGGGGGTTTTGAATTTTCAAGTTTGATAAAGCTATGATCGTCGTCTTGTCTTTTTCTCTCTCTCTCTCTCTCTCTCTCTCTCTCTCTCTCTC